AGAAAAAAACAATATACCTCAATATCATTCTATTCATTGCCTATCAAACTGAATCCTTTTTCAATGTTACAAGGTATTGTATTACATGGATATTCCATAATTTAACCAGTACTTCGCTGATTGATGCTGATTGACATTTCGTTCTTTCTCAATCTTTTGCTACTAAAACAAGTCTGCAATGCATCCATCCTGTACACATGCCTATGTATACATGCCCAAGTATCATTAGGATAAATTAGAACTGAAATGGTTAGAACAAAGGTAAATGCATTTTGACAAACATTGCCAAATTTCAGGGCAATTCTTAACGCAACATCTAAGAACTTTCTAGATATCCATGAGTGGGTTTAAAATGGTGTTTGTGAACCCCTTGAAACTGTATAAAAAACGTGAAGTATGTATTTATTTTTCTTAAGAGAGGATCCATAGCTTTAATCACAGCCTTATAGGAATTTGTATCTCTCAGAGAATGAGAACCATTGGGTCAATAGGTCTTTGCACAATAGCAAACAGAAGAATAGCAGAAGTCGACACTAAGTAGGATCCAGAGAAAACCTGCCTCAGCTCCCTGAAGAGGAGTGAGGGAGAAGATGCAGGGGGCTGATATTCACCCCTGCTCCATTCTCAAGCAGGGGGGCAGTTCAATTCCCCATAAATCAGAATTTGTTCCCAGTAACCACAGGGCCCCTCTGTTAGCTTCTGGTAATGATTTGATTTGCTACTTCTTCAGGGGATTGAGCACCTTGACTCAGAGAAATGATTCCAGAGCAATAGGGTGGGGTGAAGTTTGGGGGTGTTCCCATTCTGTGACAGGTCACACAGCTTGTGCTCTGCATCTGGTTGTAAAAGGTTAATTCTGTGTGTGTATGGGGCGGGGTGATATATATACAAAAGGTCTTTTACATAGTATTCACAGTCTGGCCTTTAGCTGCCATTTATCCCTGCTGCTAATTATGAATGTAACATTCACTTTAGTTTTTATACCAAGCACTGAACCAAGAAGTACTATGGCTGTTTACTGACTTCAAACTACTTGAACCTTTAAAAAGGAGTCTTCCAAGGTGGAGGATTAGGTTTCCACAGCAATATCCTTCAGTCTAGTTCAAACACGAACAAATTACTCCCAATAAAACCAACAGGCCTTAGACAGAAACGCTAAATTCCTAAGGAAATTAATCTTCACAGATGGATCCATCTCAGTTTCAATTATATGAAACAACAACAATCAAAAACCTTTAGTTGGAACGCCATTTGGTCTAGAGGTGTTAAGCACCGTAAAACTAAGAGTTGAGTTTGGAGAAAAAAAAAATCTGTTAATCAAATTATACTGGTGATTGAACCCAGGGGTGCTTGACCACTGAGCCATAACTCCAGTCCTTTTTACTTTTTATTTTGAGACAGGGTCTAACTAAATTGCGAGGGCCTCACTGAGTTGCTGAGGCTGGCTTTGAACTTGTGATTCTCCTGCCTCAGCCTCCCAATGGCGCTGAGATTAGAGCTATGTGCCACCACACATGCTCATATAAGTATTTCTAAAGTATAGTTTCTCAAAGTGAGGTCTTAACAACACTTGAATCTGGGAGCCCTTTAAATACTCCTGGATCCCAACCTGTGATGTTGGATCAGAATTTTGGGGAGTGAGGCAAGAATCTGCATATTATACAAGTTTCCTAGAGTCTTTACAATCCTGTGATGCACCCTGAAGTTTGAGAACTAAAGCTTTAGAAGTCACTTTAGCTTAACCTTCTGCCCTTCACAGCCCCAGAAAAGGACAGCCATGCCAGATGCATGTCACATACCTGCTCTCCTGGCAGAAGGGTCACAAGTTCAACACCAGCCTCAGCAACTTAGTCAGACCCTGTCCCCAAAACTAAAAATGGCAAGGCGAGGTGACACTTGACTAATCCTAGCAACAGAGGCTGAATCAAGAGGATCACAAGTTCAAGGCCAGCCTCAATAATTTATCGAGAACTTGTCTCAATAGAAAAAGAACTGAAGATATAGCTCAGTGATAAAGCATTCTAGGTTCAATCCCCAGTATCAAAAATAAACAAGTAGAATAAAATAAAGGGCTGGGCATGTAGATCATGGGTAGAGTGCTTGCCTAGCATGCTCAAGGCCCTGGGTTCAATTTCCAGTGAAAGAAAAAAGGGAAAGAAAAGTAAAGAAGAAACTGCTAAACCTCTACCTAGACATCTACCTGCTAAGAGTCACCAACTCCAAGAACACCCAGACTACAGGTTTCAAAAGACATCTTTTTATTCAACCAAATGCAGCATTTGAAAGACTCCTCCAAAACTCTACCCAACAATACAAAGACTGAATTTATTCCCTCTTCTACACACCAAGCCCCTCAAGAATTTAGGGTCAACACCGAGTGTGGTGACACACACCTGTAATCCCAGAAAGTAAGGACACTAAGGGAAGAGGGCCACAAGTTAGAGGCCAGCCTCGGCAACTTAGGGAGATCCTGTCTCAAAACAAAAAATTAAAAGGGCTGGGAATGTGGCTCAGTAGTAGAGCACCTCTGGACTTAATCCCCAGAACTGCAAAACAAAACAGATTTTAGAGTGGCCACTGTGTGCCCCTACACCCAGAACAATCTTCCCTTTCTTTTTTTTTTAATATTTATTTTTTAGTTATAGATGGACACAATACATTTATTTTATTTATTTTTATTTTTTTATGCGGTGCTGAGGATCAAACCCAGGGCCTCACATGTGCTAGGCAAACACTCTACCCCTGAGCCACAACTCCAGCCCCCACAACCTTCCCTTTCTAATCAAAACAGCTGTACTTCTTTCACTCCTATTTCATTTGGCACCCTGAGAAGAAGAAAGTCAAGAAAAATAGTTGATCAAGATTTAGTTAATAAGCCAGGATACCATAAATCTAGATACCAAATCACTATGAACCAGGCACTAATCAAATCATAGTAGAGCAGAGAGGATAAAATGACAGGTTTTGGTGTCCACAGTGGATTTAAGCCTCAGTTCCCAAGGGGTCTGACTTTGACCTCAGACCATGATTTGGAGCATTGGGATGTGTAAAACAAGCTTAGTAACCTCACAACAGGCTGAAGTGAAGGTTAAATGAGAAGACCCTAGGATAACTGTTACTCAAAGTCGCTCCAGGGAAGACACGGAAGTACCTGCCAAACTGCCTCCGCAAGTAGCCCTAACTGCAGGGAGAACAAACCCTCAGGGGCTAGATTGGGGCAAAATTGCAGTCCAAAGGCCAAACAATACTTTTTCCGAAGCTTTTTGTTTTAGATTTAAAATGCATATGATTTTTGGATTCTACTTCAAAATTTTTGTGATTGTTTTCATTTAAGACATGGGGATTTTTGTTTTGTTTTGCAGTACTGGGATCAAACCTGGGGACTCATGCATGCTTGCAAAGTGCTATACCATGGAGTTACATTCCCAATTTCCACCCCCACCCGCTCTATTTTTTTTTTTTTTAATTTTGTGACAGGGTCTCACTCACACTGAGTTGCCCAGGTGGGTCTTGAACTTGTGATCTTCCTGCTTCAGCCTCCTGAGTAGCTGGTGTTATATATGGGCACGACAATGCCCAGCATAAAAAAATGTTTTAAACCTTCAAATAATTGGGTAAAACTGATGCCCAAGGAAAATCCCTTCTTGATTATTCTGTAGCTTCAAGTAGTCTCTGGCACACTGACCACTATCCCCCATGCCTACCACTAACCTTGATCTCCCTTGGAGAAGAGCAGGCTTAGTCTAGGAGCAGATTAGCAAGATCAGGAAAATAAATGAAAGCTGTACACAAAGAAACCTGCCTCAGGACACAAATCTGGGGACATCAAGGAAGTTCACCCTTTAAATGCTGAGGGTTGGTGGGTCCAGCCTGATGATGAATGTTACCCTCTAAAAATGCTCTGGAGGAAAAATTATATTTGACCAAGAGCAAGATTGTCGAGGAGGAAATTCATAGAATCCCTTGGTCCAGTGCTTTTATGTCTGTGTGTGTATGTATCAAGTCCCTGATCTGATCTTGGCCATATAGAACTCTGGGAAGTCAGCCGCTTTTGGATGGCTGTGCTTACCCATTTTCTCATTCCTGTCCCCTTCCTCTCCAACTTGCTCTTCCACCTGTCTGTCATCTGAGAATTCTTTTGGTAACCAAAGAGTAGGGCTTGGTTATGAGTAGCCACCTGCATGGAAGGGGCAGGTGGTATGTCCTGGAGTTTATGGTCAGCTGGATCGGCAATTTGAAGGAGGGTGCCCTATCCATCCTCCCACTATCTGCTGGAGAGAGCAGATGCCCAGTTTTCATGAAAGATACCAGTGACTCGGGACCCACAATTCTCTAAAACGCTCACAGGAGACCTGCATCTACTTGGAGAACACTATGAGTTGGTGGACTGTTGGAAAGCCATCCTCTTTGGTCCCCAAGACTCCCAGCTGATCAAAGACAGGGGGAAAGTGAAATTGTGCCGCTGACACACACAACATGGGGCTCATATTTAAATAAGATTCCTACATGCCAGGCACTGTGTTGAGATCAGTAGACACACACGGGAATAAAGAGGCAAAAGTCTAGGAGAAAGGAGTAAGTTTCTTAAAAGGAGAGAGAGAGTTAAAAAGTAAGAGGTGTTAGACTGAGTTAGCTCCAGGCAGTATTAACTCCATCCTTTGGTTTTAGTGCCCAAGCTCAGCACATGGACTCAATAAACTGCTGAGGTCTCCGACTGGCATCCGGAGCTCTACACATTGCTCTGAGTGTCTTTCTGGATGGTGTCAGAGGGTAGGGACTGTGATGTTTCCCTCTGGCCCACCCAGAGCGAGTCCCAGCCGGCTGGCCCTGCTCCACCCTGCGGGCCACTCAGGCCCGCCCGCAGGCCGGCGTCGGGCACCCTCTCCTGGGATCATCTTGGGGACTGGGATCAGCTTGGGGACTGGCATCCCCGAGAGGCACTCCCGGGCCGCCACACCCCTCTCCCGGAGCCCAGGACCCCCGGGTCATGATCCCTTTACCTCTTGTGCGGAGACCCGGCTTCGCTAGTCCTCTGTGGCTGCGGAGGTCACACCCGCGTCCAGGCCCAGCAATGGGTCTTATCCCGTGCGGATCCGCCCCACTTCGGGGTGGAGACTGAGCCCGAGTTCCTGGTTGTCTCTCTGCCCACGGAACCGGAAAGTCCCTCCCAAAACAAAGCGCACCTGGAGCCCCAGACGCCCACGAGAAGCCAGCCTGGCCCCGAGTGGGCTGCTCCCGCACGTGCCCGAGCCCCAGGCGGCGACCAGTCCCCGGATCCCGGGGGTCCCGACTCCCGCGCCTCGTCCCGCTGCCGAGATCGCCCAGCCGGCCTGGCACCTCCAGCCCCGCTCCTGCCCCCGCAGAGTGGACCAGTGTGTTCGCGAGTTATCCGGTGTCCGGATGTCCCCACCGGTGTCACCCAAGCCCGGCGACCTCACCCTCTCCCTCCCTGCGTGGGCAGCGCCCAGTTCAATGCCCTGTCCCGAGTCACGCTTGGAATCCCAGCCTTCTCCCTGGAAAAAGGCACTTTCTCACTCCAGCAGGATCATGGGGAGCCTGTGGCTGGAAAAGTAGAAAGTGAAGTCTGAATGGCCCTTTTCATTTCCCTCTGTCACAATAAAACATACATTCCAAAACGTGTCCAGCGGTTCCACATCTCCCTTGAGGAAAAAAATTCTCCCTCCTGTTGCACCTAGCAGGTCAGAGAAACTTCGGGAATAGAAAATTGGGAGCAGTGCTGATCTTTCTCTCTTAAACCTGTAAACACTAGCGTTGGGTGCCTGTCCGCAGGACACACTTTTGTGTGTCCATATCTTCTTACCCCCACTGAACACAACACTCCTGAAGCCACTTACTAGGTCTAGGTTGTCTTTGTGCCTGCGCAGGATTCTGTTTCTGGCACATCGTAGGTGCTCAGTGAATGCTGGAGAGAAATCTGTTGCAACTACCAGCAAATTTTTATTTTATTTGACAAAGGATAGGTAGCTTTGGGGAATGTTTGCTATTCAACGGACCAAAATCCAAGTGGTTATTAAAATCTTTAAAGGTGGAGAGGCAACATTAAATTATTTCATAAACATGTAGCTAGAGGAGGTGGTTTAATGTGGTTCAGAGCATGAGTTTTAGGATCCAGACTTGGTTCTGTCCTTTATATATATTTGATAACCTAAAAGTTTCTGAGTTTCTATTTAGGAACTGACCTTGAGGAAACAAAATTAACAAGGCCAACAGTAGAAAAAGAATGCAATAAGGCCATCACAGTGGCACACATCTGTAATCCCAGCTAATTAGGAGGCTGAGGCAGGAAGATTCTAAGTTTGAGGTCAGCCTGGGAGCCTGGGCAACATAGTAAGACCCTGTCTCAAAATTTTGAAAGGAGGATGCTGGGAATATAGTTCAGTGGTAAAGCACTCCCAGATTTAATTCCAGTACTCCCCCTACATACACACACACACACACACACAATCAATAATAATTCCCTCTTGAGAAAAATTAGAGACACTATTATATCCCATAGTTGTACCCAGACCCCAGATCCGTGCAGCTGCCTCCTCCCCAAAATTGCGAATTTGGAACAGGTTGGGAAGCCACAGAAAGAGGCTTTCATGAGGTACAAAAGGCCAGGAGTAAATCTGGCCAAAACTCCTCTAATGTCAGCCTGAGTTTTAACTACAAAAGGAATCACATCTTCGCTTAGCTTCTCTCTAGGCCATATCCTACTTCCTTCACTTACAGGGTTTCCTGAGAATATTTTCACTGAAATACTTGCAGGAGAATCCCTAGGTGTAGCTCTGCTTCTAGGTAACCTGATCTAAGACAGGGTATTTTAAAAATTAATAGAATTGTAACAGGGGTCCCCTTAATGCTTTGAATATAACACTCACTTCCGCCTCAGCAACTTAGTGAGGCCCTAGGCATCTTAGTGAGACTGTCTCAAAATAAAAAATACAAAGGGCTGGGGATGTGGCTCAAAGGTTAAATGCCCCTGGGTTCAATCCCTAGTACCCCTACTCCAGAAAAAAAAAAAAAAAAAAGAATACAACCCTCGCTGCTCTGCCACTATGGTCTATTTTTAAACTAACATATTTGTTTTTTTCTTTCCTTCTCCCTCTTTGCCTCCCTAACCATGAAAGAAGCCAGATTAACTTTCTTCCCATCCTAGGCCCAGTTATTCGTCCTTTGGCTCATGACCTACAGGAATAAGCAATCTACGCCCCGGGGCTGGCACCAGCGGATCTGAGAAACAGCTATCTCTCAATGCTACAGATGAATTGACTCCTGACAGAGCACAGCTGGAATGTAGCCTTTGTATTCCTTCTTTAAAAGCCTGCTGTTCTCAGCAACTTAGCAAGGCCCTAAGCAGCTCAGCGAGACCCTGTGTCTAAATAAAATATAAAAAGGGGCTGCTGCTGTCCCTCTTTAATGTGCATGGAAGACTTGAAGGCTCAGTGTTTAAGTGCCTCTTGGTTCAATCCTTGGTACAAAAAAAAAAAAAAAAAGTCCTCTGTTTCCTCTGGCAGTTAGAATCACAGCCTTTGGGGTAGGAGTCCCCTCTATTTCTCCTTTGTTAGCAAAGTAATACGATTTCTTTTTCCTTTTTTTCAAAACCTTACCTTCGTTATTGGATCCAATTCCAGGACAAGGACTGACCTTTCAGTATCAGAATTGTCCAAATGAAAGGCTCAAAGGAGCCTTTAAATTAAAGATAGCAGAATGAATACCTATAGTTATCTCAGATCCTCTCAAAATTCAAGTAAAGCAAAAGTTTTTTTTTTTTTTTAATCTCACAAGAACAAGGGAACCAGACAGAAAAAAATAATAACAAAAAATTGGAGCCTGAAAAGTAGAGAAATAGGATAATTGACTTAGCAGACCTGAGAGAACTAAGGAATAAGGAGAAGGGAAAGCCAGGAAGCAAGATGACAATGTAGATCTCTGGGGATGTGGGAGTTTGCAGCATCAGGTGCTTCTGAAAAAGGGTATGTAGGTGAGCCGGAGACCTGGAGGATTGGTTGTGAGCTGCACAGGAAGAAGCTAGTGTCCCCCATCCCCTCCTGCACAGCTGCTGTTGTCCCTCTTTAATGTGCATGGAAGACTTGAAGTGCCTTCTCAGAAGGGATAAAGAACAGGATCTCTGGAATGGGGACACCCAGATGTTGTTGCCGTGTTCTGGTTATCTGAGGCTGCCTAAACGACCCCAAAACTTGGTGCCATAAACAATGACTATTTTTCCACCATTTGGTTGTCCCTCATGATTTTGTGGGTCTGAAATTGGATAGGACTTGGCTGGGGAATTCTGTTCCATGAAGCATCAGCGAAGTTCACTAAGTATAATTACATGGTGGTTTTCAGCCAGCTGGAAGACTTCTTCTATATTTGACACCATAGCAAGAGTAACTGGAAGGCTGATCTCAGCTGGCACTATTACCCAGGACACTTACACCTTCTCTCTTCACATGGCAGTTTCAGGGTGTCAGATCTCCTATGTGGAGAGTCAGGGTTTCCAGAAAAATAATACAAGAGATACAAGCAGAAGTTACTAAGCTTCTTATTATCTAGGCTTGGAAACTATTGAACATCGTTTCCATTGTATTCTATAGATCATGCAAATCACTGAGACCAGCCCAGTTTCAAGGAAAGGAGAATTAGCCTCCATCCCGGAATGAATGTGTGTGTGCAAAGATTTTGCAGCCATCTTTAATCTTGGGTACTAAATGAACATATGGATAGGGCTTCTGTACTGAAATTGAAGAGTCGTATGAAAATTAAGAAAATTGGGCTGGGGATGTGGCTCAAGCGGTAGCAAGCTTGCCTGGCATGCGTGCGGCCCGGGTTTGATACTCAGCACTACATACCAACAAAGCTGTTGTGTCCGCCGAGAACTAAAAATAAACAAATTAAAAAAAAAAAAGAAAATTAAGAAAATGAATATTGAACTAACTGTTCAATATTATTCCTCCACTTGATTCCTGCTAGAAACTGGCAGCCAGGATTATATTCATTAAGAGTTTATATTCATTAAGAGTTTGGAGTATTTCTCTCTGGAGAAATCTAAGAACAAAGATCTAAGGACACTGTATTCAATTGCTTAATGAAACTGAGCAACCTGTTAGTAAACTTATCCTTGTCAAGCCTCACCACTCATGTACGCACAAAGGTGTCCAGAAAGTATTGTTGATTGCACTTTTAGGGTTAGTAGATAAAATACAGGACACTTAAATATGAATTTTGGATAAACAACAAATAATCTTTATTGAAGTATAAAATATATAACATGGCTTAAACACTGCACAGAATGTACTTTTCCTATAAGGTATCTGTTGTTTATGTAAAATTGAAGTTTAACTAGGTGTCTTGTTTTTTGTTTTGTTTTTTGCTAAATTTGGCACACTTAAGAATGGATAGCCAAGACTGGGGTTGTGGTTCAGTAGTACAGCAATTGCCTCGCATGCCTGAAGCACTGGGTTTGATCCTCAGCACCACATAAATAAATAAAATAAAGGTATTATATACATCTACAACTAAAATTAAAAAAAAAAGAATAGATAGCCAGATGAGCATGGCAAAAGCCTGTAATCCTACTTGCTCAGGAGGCTGAGGCTGGAGGATTGCAAGGTTAAAGCCAGCCTCAGCAACTTAGGGGGGACCTAAGCAACTCAGTGAGACCCTGTCTCTAAATAAAATATAAAAAAGGGCTGGGGATGTGGCTCACTGGTTAAGCACCTCTGGGTTCAATCCCTGGTAACAACAACAACAAAAACAAAACAAAACAAACAAACATAGATCCTCAGAATTTAAGGGAAGAATTTGACATGACAGAAAGAATCCCAAAAGTATAACAGGAAAGAAGCTTGGAAGAAAAAGACTATATGGAAAGGGGAAAGAAAAGTGATGATCTGCTATTGGTCTCCTCTGAGAAATAAATTTAGAAAAAAAAAACAGAATAGATACTCTTTAACAATTAGTACTTAGAGAACAAAACATAGGTCTTTTAAATTATAAATATGATAGCAAAAAAAAAAAAAACCTCAGCAGAGTAGTAAGAATATAAAGTTAGAAAATAATAGAATGCACAGTCATTCCTCCGTATCCTTTGGGATTGGTTCCAGGACTCCTGTGAATAGCAAAACCTCTGGATATCCCTTAGA